GGTTCTCAGATGTATACACCGATACTCTGTTGTGTGGTGGAAACCATGTTCTGTCGTGTATACAGTCGTTGGACAGTCACGTCCGTCGTCGTCGTCGTCGTCGTCCGTGAGCGGTTGTTGGTCGCCAGTGTCGTCGTCCGTCGTCGGTGACGTCGGTTGGCGGTCGTTGGTCGTCGTCGTCGGTTGGCGGTCGTTGGTCGTCGGGGTTGTCGTCGACGTCGGCGTCGTTGTCATCGTCTGTCCTCGTCGTCGGTCGTCGTCGTCCGTTGTCGTCATCGTCCATTGTGGCCCGTCGTGGTCGTTTGTCGTTGTCGTTGTCGTTGTCGTCGTCGTCGGTCGTCGTCGGTCGTCCGTAGGCGTCAGTTGTTCGTCGTCGGTCGCCACTCTTCGGTCGTCGGTCGGTCGGTCGTCGTTGTCGTTCTTCGTCGTCGTTGTCATTGGTCTGTGGGCGCCAGTCGTGGTCATTGTTGTCCAACGTTTTGTTTATCGTCGGTCGTTGTCGTCGTCGTCGAGGCGTCGTCGTCGTCGTCTGTCCTCGCCCGTTTGCGCGTTCTTTTTACGTGTTGTTTTTATGTGTTGTTTGTGCGTGTTGTTGTACGTGTTGTTTTTACGTGTTGTTTTTACGTGTTGTCGTTTTTTTCACGTTTACGTGTTGTTTTTACGTGTTGTTTTTGCGTGTTGTTTGTTCTCACGGTTAGGTTCAATCTTCCTTGGGGGCACGCTCCGCTGCCAGATGCGGCGGGGGTCGGCGCCCGCCGCCGCCCCCCGCCGTATCGTGCGGCCTTGGTGTTCCCAGGCCACGTGCAGTTAACACCGGCAATGCAACGCTGGGCCCGCGAATTTGACGCGCGCTCGAAATCTGTCCCATGGGTCTCGCGCGTGGGCCCGTGGCCAGTACGCAAGGGGCAAAGTCATAGAAAAACGGTGAAGGAAATAAGACTTGTTTGGGAGGACTTGAACGCAGCCAAGCCGAGGCTGTCGGGCATGGAGGAGGGAAAGAGAGTGCCCTGCCATTCTCCCGCTCGCCCTTGCCTCCTCTTCTCATCCTGTGCCCCCCCCCCCCTCACCCCCCTTCCTCTTGGCACTCTCTTCTCTCTTCCCCGTGGCCCGTGGGGTAGGGGAAGCAAGCCGACAGGGAGGAGGGACAGAGAGTGGGCTCGGGGAAGTGCCAGGTGGCGCTCGTAGGTTTGGGCGATCTTGGTCAGGACAAACAGGCGCGAGCTAAACGACCGAAGCTAAGAAGGGGAGGCGGGTAAAGGGTGAATGGAAGAATTGAGGAGGGCGAGAAGAGGAGGAGGACGAGGAAACACTGTTCACATGACCAGTGTTTGTCCCTTTCTCAACTGCCCCAGCGCAGTCCAAAGTGTCATGGAGGTTCTGAGGGGTCCTGTGATGCAGGAATCGGCGAAGGAGGAGGTAGAGATGACACTGTGAGACAATGCGTGAGAAAGCGAGAAGTAGGTGCAGCTGGAGCTGGAGGGGCACACCTATGCGGACATCGAGAGGGAGGATGAGGCAGAGGAGGAATAGTTTTGGGGCTCAGTCAGGCCTGCTTAGCTCACGGTCCTGTCCGATCTGGCCCCTCCCTGGAAGCCTCGGCAGCCATGGGCCGCAAGGAGGATGCCGCCAGGAAGGCCAAGGCCAAGGCCAAGTCCGGCGCCAAGAACTCCGCGGCAGCCGCCGCCCAGGACAAGGCGGAGAGCACGAGGGAGGCGTGCGAAAGGGGAGGTGTGCAAAAGGGAGGAGGATGATGAGGAGGAGGAGGAGGAGGAGGAGAAGGAGGAGGAAGAGGAGGGGGGGGGGAGGAGGAAGGAGGAGGAGGAGGAGGAGGAGCAGGAGCAGGAGAGGAGGGAGGAGGAGGAGGAGGAGGAGGAGGAGGAGGAGGAGGAGGAGGAGGAGGGAGGAGGGAAGGGAACGAGGGGGAGATGCAGGTTGGAGCGGGCTTGGGGGCCGAGGTGGCCCAGGGGCTCCGGCCAGCAGGAAAATGGAGAGAAAGGGGCCCCCTCGTCGCTGCGGCTGGACGCGGCTCCAATTGCTGGTCAGCTTCCATCTTGGGAGTGGTCTAGATACCGGTTTTGAGCGGATTTGTCCTCGTCCCCACTCTTGACCGACTTTCTTTGGGACCGTCCGGCTCAAATCCCCAAGTCGCCTCCAAGAGGAAGAGATATGCTAGTCGGGGAAACGTAAGACTCGAGTAAGCCGGAGCTCGGGTTTGCCGACGTTTTTTACGAGCGCGTCCTAGATTTTGACGGTCCCGTTTTCTTGGAGTGTTTGCAGCGGGGGCTCGCGTCAAATTCCAGATTGCGCCTCGTCATGTTCTTGAGGACCCCGTCATGCCAGCTCAAGTCCCCCGCACCCGAGTCTTACGTCTTCCCGAGCTAGGCTCGCACGCGCCATCTCTGACGTCCTATCCCTCCGGTCCATCCCGAAGCCTTCCGCTGTTGGCGCTTCCATTATCCGCCGAGGGGTATCTATGGCAAGCCCGGGGTCCTTCCCCCCCCAACTCCGCGTGGTGCGCACGCAGTGAGAGGAAAGTTGTGTACATTGTGAGAGGACGAGGAGGAGGAGGAGGAGGAGGAGGAGGAGGAGGAGGGGGATGAGGAGGAGGAGGAGGAGGAGGAGGAGGAGGAGGAGGAGGGGGGGAGGAGGGGAGGAGGGGGAGAAGGAGGGGGATGAGGAGGGGAAGGAGGAGGAGGAGGAGGAGGAGGCGGAGGAGGATGAGGAGGAGGAAGAGGAGGAGGAGGAGGATCAGTGTAAACCCCATTCGCACCAACGATGTTGCAATAAGCCTCCCTCCGAGATCCGTCTTCGCAGGTCCCCCACAACACGTTGTGTCCCACTGCGGGAAGTGCCCCATCGGAAGGCAACCGCGTGAGAATCCTCCATCGTGCCAGGAGGAGGGGGAGGAGGAGGGGGAGGAGGAGGAGGAGGAGGAGGGAGGAGGAGGAGGAGGAGGAGGAGGAGGAGGAGGATCAGTGTAAACCCAATTCGCACCAACGATGTTGCAATAAGCCTCCCTCCGAGGTCCGTCTTCGCAGTTTCCCACAACACTCTGTCTTCCACTGCGGGAAGTGCCCCATCGGAAGGCAACCGCGTGAGAATCCTCCATCGTGCCAGGACGCAATTCCTGGGTCTTCAGCGCCGTGAACTATCATGACTGCCGCGCCCGCACGATGCTAAAGCATGCCAGAATTCCAGTCAGGAGACCACCTCCGAGAGTCAACCTGACTTCCGTGCCCTGGCAGTCTTAGTCGCGCCAGAACACCATTCCTGGGAGTTCAACCATCTGAACCCTTGAAGCTGCTGCAAACTGTCAAGACGAATATGCGCGGTGCGCGGCGAGAGCCACGTTTTTAAAAGGAGCTGCCCTTCATATTTGCAGCCCTCGCACACTCCTACGACGAATGTGCGCGGCGCTTCGGTGAGAACCGCATTTTGGGAAGGAGCCCGCCCTCTACCCTTGAAGCTGTTGCAAACTTGCCCAGCGGATGCGCGCAGCGCTAAGACGAGAGCCCCAGTTTGAAAAGCGCTTGTCTTACATACACAAAGCTGCTGCAAACGTTTCAGATACATGTGCGCGGCGCTGAGGCGAGAGCCACATGTCGAAAACCACCCGCTTCCCATCAGTGATATTGCTGCCTGCTGCAAACTTCAAGCTTCAGGACCATAACTGGTCAGGAAGTCTCAGGCGAAACGCCTGGCCCGCCCTACCGACACGTCTGGGGGTGCTACAGGGGGCAGCTGTTTGTGAGGAAAGGAATGGGGGAGGAGGAGGGGGAGGAACAGGAGGACGAGGAGGTTGCCGATAAACAGGAGGAACAACCGCACCAGCAGGAGCAGGAGGAGCGGGAGGAGCTGCAGGGCCAGGGGAAGGCGCAGGAGGGGAAAGGGATGCGACCAAGGCGAGGAAGGACTCCGACCCAGAGATTAGTCCTTCTCTGAGGCGAGAGCAACATTCTGCACGACGGGAGCAAGGGACGCCGCCTGAAGCGAGGCCAACGCTGCAGCGGGAGAACAACAGGTTGGATAACCAGGTCCGTTCCGATAAGAATACGCATCTGACGGGCCATCTTTTGAAATGCGGGAGACAAGCTGCCCCGCACGGGTCCTGAGGAGAGTAGCGTAGTTCTACCCTGCCCGCGAAGTGTGGGGGCGGGAGAGGTGGATTTGGCCCAGACAGGCGGGCAAGAGGGAGCGTGGAGCCAGTCTCGCTGGCCGCGCGCCGACAATCCGCCGAGGAGCGAGAGGCCACAACGAACGAAGGACGCCGCATGTGTCCACACGCCCAATTCCCAGACCCCCGACGTGATGATTTTGTTCGTTACGTCGACCCCCAGAGGTCCCGACCCTTTCCCCATGACCGGCTTTGCATCCTGAGTCGTTTTTTGACGCTCCCGAGGCCCGGTGAGGGCCCCCGGAGGCCGACAATGAAGGAAAGCCTTCCGTCATGATTTTTTCATTGCTCGAGGGGGTCTGGGTTCTGGGACAGCAGTGGTGCAGCACGGCCAGGGGCATCGGCCCAGCGCGTCGCTCTCCGCCAGGTCGGGCCCACCGTGCTGCGGCCAGCCTCGTCCCCAGCCCCGAGCGGCAGCGCCCCGGGCCTTTTTCCGGGCCTTTCGCGCTGCGAGGCGAAACGGCGCGCCGGTCCCGCGTGCAGGGCACACCGTGTCGCGGGGGCCGCCGCCGGGAGGCTCTCGAGCAGCAGCTCTCGACCTTGGCGGTCGCAGAAGCAGTGCCCCTGGGTACTCCAGATTTCGTGATAAAAGGGAGGGGGTCTGGACCCTCCAAGACAGGCCATTTCAGACCTCCCCCGTGGGAGAACCCTCCAAAACATCGTCCCCAGACCCCCCAGGCCCTCCAAGATAGCCTGGAAGAGACCCCCCCCCCCGAAATGAGACCCCCCTCCCTTTATTACGAAATCTGGAGTATGTCGCTAGCAGCAGCGACGGTGCCAGTCGCAGCAGTGCTTGCGCCGGCAGCAGAAGGTGGAGAAGGAGAAGATGCTGGAGGGCACCTCGAACGTCAAGCGGCTGGCGGTCCTGGAGACCGCTGTCGTGACCGGGGTGCTCGCATCCCAGGAGCAGAGCAGGGACGTCAAGATCGACCAGTTCTCCCTGAGTGTGTACGGCAAGGAGTTCATCAATGACACCAAGCTGGAGCTGACGTTTGGCCGTCGCATCGGCCTGATCGGCCAGAACGGCTCTGGCAAGTCCACCATGCTGGCCGCGATAGCAGCTCGCGAGATCCCTATCCCGAAGCACGTCGACATGTGGTTCTTGGACTCGGAGGCCAAGCCAGAGGAGGTCACTGCCATCCAGGCGGTGGTCGACGTGGTGGCGAAGGAGCACGAACGGCTGACCGAGCTTGTCAACAAGCTCATTGAGGAGGACGCCGAGAAGAACGCCGAGATGCTCGGGGTCATCGGTGAGAAGCTGGACAAGATGGAGCCCGAGACGTTCGAGCCCCGTGCCTGCGAGCTCCTGCATGGCCTCGGCTTCACCGAGAAGATGATGCACAAGCACACCAAGGACATGTCCGGCGGTTGGCGCATGCGCGTGGCGTTGGCCCAGGCTTTGTTCGTCGAGCCGACCCTGTTGTTGCTGGATGAGCCCACCAACCACCTGGACCTGGGAGCGTGCGTCTGGCTGGAGGAGTACCTGAAAACCTATCCAAACACTTTGCTGTTCACGTCCCATTCTGAGGACTTCATGAACGGCGTGTGCACTAACATCATGCAGCTTACCCAGAAGGGCACGCTGGTGACCTGGGCTGGGAACTACGATCAGTATCACAAGACGCGCACAGAACTTGAGAAGAATCAGATGACGAAGTACAAGAAGGAGCAGGACGACATTGCGCATTTGAAGGATTTCATTCGATCTTGTGGTACGTACTCAAATTTGCGAATCCAGGCGGAATCCAAGCAGAAGATCATCGACAAGATGGTCGAGGCTGGTCTCACCGAGAAGCCTATGCCTGACCCCACGTACCAGTTCAGATTTCCAGATTCGGAAAAGCTTGCGCCACCAGTGATTCAATTCGCCGGCGTCTCATTTTCTTACTCTGGGAAGAAGGAGGACCACCTCTATGAGAATCTTGAGCTGGGCGTCGACCTGGACTCCCGGATTGCGCTGGTGGGGCCCAACGGCGCCGGGAAGTCAACGTTGCTCAAGTTGATGTTGAAAGAGATTGAGCCTACCGTCGGTGAGGTCCCCAACGGCGGAACCGATATTCTCTCCGGCCCGTGCCTAGTAGGCGCCCCCCCTCTCCTTGTGAGCCTTCGAAGCTACGCGGCGGGTACGCTGTCTTCTGGCTTGACGCACGGGGCCCAGGGAACAATTGACACGTTTAACTTCGACTCCGCCTCCTTCTCCCTTTTACCCGCGAGGTAAAGCGCAGCGGGAAGCTCCGCATCGGGCACTACAACCAGCACAGCGAGGCAGTGTTAGACTTAGAGAAGACGCCGCTCATTTTTTTGAAGCCCAAGAAGAAAAAACAACAACATACACATGAACTTTCCTGGCTCCGCGCGGATCTCTTGGATCGGCACTGGACCTCCTGCCTGGCGCGCGGAGCGCGCCATGGGCTGCGCCGGTGGCGCCGCCAGGGGTTTCAGCGCCGATTCAAGAGATCCGCGCGGAGGCTCGACAGCTTACTCTTATGAGATTCCTGTACCTCCTATGAGGGAGCTGTACCCTGAGGGCATCGTCACCACTAAGGGGCAGGAGAAGATGGAGGACGCGCAGTGGCGCGGCAAGCTCGGCTCCTTCGGGATCACGGGGGACTTCCAGACGCGGAAGATGAAGATCCGACCAGCCTGCGCCGTGCCCGCCGGCACATTGGTGCTTCTTCCCCCCTCTCCATTCTCCCCCCGCCCTCTCCCATCGGGGAAACGCAAGTCTCGAGTAAGCCAGAATTCGGGTTTGCCGGCGTTTTTTGACGAGCGCGCCCTGGATTTTGACGCTCCAATGTTCGTGGGATGTATGCAGCAGGAGCTCTCGTCAAATTACAGATTGGGTCTCGTCATTTTTATGCTGGCCCCGTCGGGCCAACCTGAGTCCCCCGTACCCGAGTCTTACGTCTCCCCGATCCAAGGAGGTCTCTCCCCCCCCCTCCCCGGCGCTGGACGGCCCCTCCCCCGCCCCCGAAGAGAAGCGGGGTGTAAGGATCGTCGTGGCGCAGGTGATGGTGGTCAGTCTGCACATGGGGGGCCCTGCCGATCCCCTGCACGAGCCTGTCCCCCCCCCCCCCCCCTCTCCGCGGTCGAGAAGCCTGCCCCTCCCCCGACCCCACAGGAAGCCAAAGTATGAGTCGGGCCTGTCCTTCCACAGGAGGAATATCCCAAAGTAGCTCAATCAAAACTAGTGTGGGGAGCATGCTTTGAGCACGTTTCAAGATTTTGGGGGGTATTTCTAGTTTTTCGTCCAAAATCCGCCTGTCGGGGGACATGCCCGGCCTAAATCTGGGGGTCGGGCCGAAAGACACAGCAACGGCATATGCAGAACCTGTCGGAGATCCACGCTGACGTATTGGATCGGCGCGGGGCCCTCCTGGCGGCGTCTCTGGCGCCGCCCACCCATGGCGCGCTCGGCGCGCCAGGATGGAGGGTCCAGCGCCGATCCCAGATGCCCGCGCGGACCTCCACATGTTGACGTTTATACGAAATGCTCTTCTTCTATTTCGTTCTCCCGACCTCCCTGGAGGCCACACTCTCGCGTCCAGGGGATGTTGTGTGGGTCACGGGGGAAGGGTCTCACAGACGCACGGCATCCGTGGAAAGGGTCGGCGGACACTCTCCGACGGCATGAGAACAAGGATGGTGTTGCTTCTGATGTCACTGGTCAACCCGCACGTCCTGCTGCTGGATGAGCCGACCAATCACTTGGACATGCAGTGCATCGACGCCCTGGCAGAGGCTGTCAGAAGCTCTTGCCTCGGCTGTTTCTTCCTTCCCCCCATCGATCTCACCGCCCCATCCTGTGCACCTCCTCCTCCGCCCTTCTCGCCCACAACAGAGGCGATCAACAAGTTCAGCGGCGGCATGGTGCTCGTGTCCCACGATTTCCGTCTGATCGGACAGGTCGCCAAGGACATCTGGATATGCGACAAGAAGTCGGTCAAACCGTGGACCGGCGACATCCAGTCGTACAAGAAGCACCTGAAGAAGGAGGTCATGCAGAAGTTCAAGAAGTGATTCGTCGCTTCCCAGAGCTAATTTTGGAAGTCTGTGCAGGCGACTTGCACATATCGAAGACGCCGACGGCGAATCATCCCCGCCCCCTGCCTTTTGGAAGCGCCCATGCGGCCAAGCGTTGCGCCAAAGTCTGGCCAGGCGATTGAACTATGTGTTCCCCCAGCCGTTGTGGAACCCCTTGGGGGAGCACTCGGGAAAGGAAGAGAATGGAGGAGGAGAGGGAGGAGAACGAGGGCGAGGAGGAGGAGGAGGAGGAGGAGGAGGAGGAAGATGAGGCCTCTTGAGACCGTCTTGGGAGCCTCCTGAGGGCTTATATTAAGGAGCCTTTGAGGGGCCTATTCGGGGCGTTCTGGACCTCTGGAGGGCTTCTTGAAGGCCCTTCAACCGTGAAGCAATACTCAGACGGAAACCAATGATTTGGGCCTCTTGGGGGTCCTCTTGAAGCCCTCTTGGTGCGTCTTGGGGGCCTCTTGGGCCGTCGGGCAGGCATCGTGGACCGTCTTGGGGCAATGCTTGCCTTCTTGGAGGCGTCTTGGGACCGTCTTGAAGACCATCTTGGGCCATCTTTGCCGTCTTGAAGACCGTCTGGGCCGTCGTGGAGGCCATCTTGAGACCGCCTGCAGCGGGAAGACCGACGATCCGGTTAGTTTCTGAAGATTTCCATGTAGCCGGCGGGCTGGGCCGGGGGCTCGTTGGAACCCTTCAAAAGATACTAAGCACTGTCAGTCTGGGTACGCCAGACTTGGGCCGTCTTGCGGGCCTTTTGGGAGCCTCTTGTAGCGATCGGGGGACCAATGGGGCCATTTGGGTGTCTCGAAACTTCGGAAAGAGGCGAACACGAACGGTGTTGCACGACGTGGGAAAAGTACCGATTTTTCTCCTGGAGGTCTCCTTGGAGCCCTCTTGGGTCGTCTGGGGGGCCTCCTGGGCCGTCAGGAGGGCCTCTTGGACCGTCTTGGGCCAGTTCTCGCCGTCTCAGAGGTGTCTTGGGACCGTCCTGGAGGCCATTTTGGGGGCCATCAAAGCCGTCCTGGAGGCTCTCTCGGCCGTCTCGGAGGCCACCCTGGGGCTCCGGGTTTCGCGCGCCCCTCCGGGTGGCCAGCGCGTCAGGCCAGGACCCTGCGGTCGGACCGGGGCACGGGATCGAGGTCGGTTCGGGGGGTATCTTGCTGCTCTTCGTGCTCGTGGGATGCACCTTGTGCACCTCGGGGAGGGTACCCTCGGATGTTCTGTGTGCTTTGGCTGGCGGAGGGTCGTGTGCTCGTGAGGGATAGGTTCTTCCGTCCCGGGTCCGTCTGTTCTGGTAGCCTCTCCAATAAGCGCAGCCATCCAGACGTCTAGCACACCGTGCACCCCTGTGGCAAGCCACATGGCGCGGTGGGCCGAAGACGTCTACGAACCACCGCAGCCCACATGCCTGTTGGAAGCGCCCATGCCCCCGAACGTTGGGCCAATGCCTGGCCACTGCTATTGGACTATGTGTTCCCCCAGCCGTCGTTAAACCGTTCAGGGGAGGAAGAAAAGGAGGAGGAGGCGGAAGAGGAGGAGGAGGAAGAGGAGGAGGAGGAAGAGGAGGAGAGGGAGAAGAAGGACCAGAGGGAGGAGAAGGGGGGGAAGGAGGACGAGGAGAACGAGGAGGAGGAGGAGGAGGAGGACGAGGAGGAGGAGGAGGAGGAGCACAGCAAAGATGCTTGTTGAGGCCGTCTTGGGGGCTTCTCGGAGCCTCTTGGGGGTCTTCGTGGGGCCTCAGAGGAGCTTTTGAGGGGCTCTTAGGGGCCTCTTGGAGGCATCTGGAGGCCTCTCCGGGTCCTCTTGGAGGTAGTCTTCGGGCTCTCTCTGGGCCATTTGTCGCTTTGGTCGCTCCTGGGCCCCTCTTCGGTAGGTTTAGGGCCGTCTTCGGGCCGTTTCGGCGGCCTCTTGGGCCGTCTTGGGGCCCTCTTGGGCCCGTCTTGTGGGCCTCTTGAGGGCCTCCCTGCCCGTCTTGGGGCGATATTAGAGGCATATGAGGCCTTCTTTGGGCTAAATCCATTCAACAGCCTGCTCCCGGAGGTCCTCTTGGAGCTCTTTCGGGGCGTATTCGAGGCCTTCCTTTTGGGCCATCTGGAGGGCATCTTGGGGCTATCTTGGCCGCCTTGGAGGCGTCTTGGAGGCCATCTTGGCCTTCTTGGAGGCCATCTTTTATACCGCTGCATCACTACGAAATTGATTTACCCAAGAATTGAAACGCCAAGTAACATTTTATTTGATTTTTTGTAATTGCGCGGGTCATAGGGGGGTAGGCTGAGTGGACGGGTGCAGGGGCATTCCAATGTTCGACCCGCACGACACTGCGATAATGATACACACGCCCAGCATGCGTAGCCAGTTCGGGGTCGGCTTCTGTTTTGCGTTGTCGGCCCTCGCCGCGCTCCCAGCTACAGGCCGCATGCATCGCCACCACTGGTGCGCGGGTCGTGGAGCAGGACAAGAACTGTGAAAGGCGACTCAAGGGTGGACGAATCCTACCCACCCGCAATGTCACGGAATCTGCGCCGCAGGTTCTGAATTTCAAGTGGCGGGGCCCGCCCGCAGACAACACGAAACGCGACCACGACGGACGCGGTCGCCCACCGTGCAATCAAAGGTGGTGCCACCAGGAAATTTGGCCCACTAGCGCGGTTAAGGCGCCCCAAGCCATAAGACGTCAAGCCATCATCCTTTCCGCCATCCTTGGCTGCTGCCTCGGCCGTCCAAGGGTACCCTTGGCGGCACATTCATCCTTGCCGTTTGGGGTTGAAGCCCGTTGCACGGCGGCGTCGCAGGGATGGGGGAGGCAAGGGTACCCTTGGGGATCCCTCCGTATCCTTGCCCACGTTCTCGTTTGGGCGGGCGCATCCCCGCGCGTTTCTTGCCGCGTAATGGCGTTGCACGGCCCCTTGGGCATCCTTGCAGATTTTTGGGTTGTCGCCTTCTCCCCGATCTTGGGTCAGTTTTGACCCGGCAACGGTATATCTTCATGTTCCCCACGCCCCCTTCTTTGCCTCCCCCCTCCTTCCCCGCGGGAGCTTGTCACCCGCTGTTCTTCTGAGGCGCCCTTGGCCCATGATGGCATCCAGATTCAAAAATGTACCATTGGTTTTCCTCGAGCGGTTTCCGTGGTGACACGTGTCACCTGCTTTTCTTCTGAAGATTCCCTGGCTCATGTTGGCGCCGAGAATCAAACGATTACGTTTGGTTTTCTCCAAGCGGTTTCCGCGGTGACACGTATCGCCCGTTGCTTTTCTGAGGCTTCCTTGGATCATGGCGGCGTCCAGAATCAAAAATGTACCGTTGGCTTTCCTCTAGCGGTTTCCTCGGTGACACGTGTCACGAGTTGCCTTTCTGAGGCTTCCTTGGTTCATGTTGGCGCCCAGTCAAAAATTCACAGTTGGTTTTCTCCATGGGGCTTCCGCCGTGGCACGTGCCATCCAGACGGTCACGTCCAGTTCGTCATTTGATGTCGTGTTTGCCTGTCATACCTTTTCTCCCGTGACACTCTTCCACGCTAGTCGGCGGCTTGCGGTTAACAACTTTTCAGTAAGTAACCTTTGTCGATTTTCCTGTTCCCTGCTCCTCCCCTTCCGCCAACGAGCAGCTCACCAGAAAAGATCTTATAACAAATTGTGTGCATGCTTTCCACGCCACGCTACCCCAGCCCATGCCGTACTCAACGGGATCCTGCCCTCCATTTTCGCTGGAGGCACTAGGTTCTATTACATCCAATTTTATTTAGACACTGCGCTGGCTTCGTTTTATGCATATTTAGAGCCTTGAAAATCTACTCTGCACTAACGTGCCTTACCGCGCCCTTTCCAACCCCTACTCCTACACATGCTGTGATCAAGGTCAACCGCATCTCTGCAACTATCCTGCGCCGTACGATTCGTAGCATTAGCGTGGTCCGCAAACCTACCCCGCAGCTCATCCCACCTCACCCTGGCATATTCAAACGCCAGCCAGACGCTATCCACAAGTAACGGTGGTGCAAAGGGCGGCAAGACCGAGTTCGACGCGGGCGTCTCCTCAGGGTTCGACGCGTAGATTTCGTAACACACGCGGCCGCCATGGCGGCGTCCACGACGCAACTGTCACCGCGGTAGCACAGCGCAACTCAACGCCCAATCCGCATGCGCAGACCACGTGCACATTTCCTGCCCAATATATCCAATGCCCGCTCCCCCATCAGGCATTGCTCTACACGGGCTCCTGCAACTAATCACAACTCTTGTGTACCAGTGCAATATACCTCCTTACCTTGTCCAATGCACAGCCAGCGCTGCTCTTCTTCGTTTGCCGCGACTGTTAAGGCGTCGTTGCTATTTTGATGTGGATCGCCATATGCTCTAATGTATTCATCCTACGCGAACTTTACGGCGCGCCTGCGTCGCGCAATTTTAGCCCCCCCGCCGCTCCCCCTCCCGCCCCTACCGCCACCCATCATCCCACCCGACCCCACTCCATCGCGACCCCGCTCTGTTCGCGCCCTCCCCCCCCCCCCCCCCGCGTCCGCGCGCAACGCCCGTGCACAGCAGCGCCCGCGCGTGGCATCCGTGCGCGAATGTCCATGCGCCACGTCGGTGTGCCACGCGCACGCCGACGCCTACGCACAAGTCCCGTGCGCCGCATCCGCGCCACAACGCTGCGCCCTTCCCATGGTTCATGGCCACTTATGGAATTGCACCCAAGGCCCCAGTAGAGACGCTTACATGCGTCCGCGCCGCGCATCATGCCGCACCCTCGCACGGACCGTGGCCCCATAGGGGGCTCCATCGGAGCCCCCTGTGGCGACGTGGACATGCGTCCGCGCCACCGATTACGGCGCGCCCCATCGCGCGGTTCGCGGCCCCACATGGTGCTCCACTTAAGAGCACCCGTGGCGGCGGTCGCACGCTCCTGGGCCACCCATCGCGGCGCGCCCTCGCGCGGTTCGTGGCCCCAGAAGGATATCAACGAAAAGCTGCCCAACCGTTGCGACGCTCTCC